CAATAACAATAAATCTATTCAACGGCTTACTTAAGCACTTAATAGCCAATGTAAGGCTAGAGGCAATTTTGTATAATCATACCTAATAATGATGGTCATTAAACTTGTAAAAAAAAAACGCTACCACAAAAGCATCATATTATCACTTTTATTGTTATTATTATTATTATTGTTGTTATTATGATTTATAAAAAAAACCTATTATCATATGTTCACCATACATCCATCAAACATACCAGCCATTATATATTTATTCCTTCATCTGATAGACAGAATGAACAACATCGTCATCACTGTTTATCTGATCATCATCATCAAAAACAGCAGCAGCAGCAGCAACAACAACAAAACAACATCACAATCATTACCACATCATCACATCATCCACATTCGTGATTATCTTCTTCCCAACTCTCTCTCACTCTCTCTCTCTCTCTCTCTCTCTCTCTCTCTATATATATATATATATATATATATATATATATATATATAGTTTAGTATATATAGTTTATAATATAATAACATCATTTCAAACCGCTCATTTGTAAACATACATACAAACGAACAAACAAATAAACAAGCATTCAAACACACTAACAACCAAACATACATACAAAACAAACTTTACCAAAATAACATTAAAAAATCATATGCAATAATCTCTATGCAATCATTCAAAATCTTATGGCACCAAAAATACGAAAAAAATTGTGAAAATTTTCCATATACATACAAACACACACGCACACATACACACACACATACACACACATACATCTAACAACAACAATAATAATGATAATAATTTAGATAAAAATGATGGTGATAACAATGATGATAATGAAGAAAGTGATAAAACTTGAATTAAACAATGCCCCAGTCTAACAATCCTACTGTTCTTTAGTATGATAATAACGATGATAACCTCACCATCGCCAAGTTATATCGCGTCGTTCATCAACTTCGTTCATCTTCATATACCCAGTTGCATCAATCTGCCAGCAATTCATCAGTTGTCGACAAATGTTTTACGTACAGCTCTCCTTCCATGTGGAATGGTTTGCCTGCCATTATTCGTCAACAACCAACCATCAAACTTTTTGTTATTCTAGGCCTACGGAAAGGCCGAATCAATCAATCTTCATTTAGAAACCCAGTTCCCCCAAGGTAGGACGTCATTGTTCATCCAAGCACTCCTGAATAATAATAATAATAATATTAATTATTAGACTCGTTTAATTAGCTTAATAAATTCAAATAAGGATTTGGCGCATACTCACACACAAAGTAGGACATATCATTAAGCATTAGTTTTGGCGGCATCTCCTCCATCTCCCTTTATCTTCTGCTCGTCATCAACAACGGCCTTCAACTTGTTCGTCTCCTTGTCGCCATCTTGTAGCTGTGGCTGTTGCGCAGCTTTCAAACGCTCCTCCCTACGCATGATGACTTCGAGGGTGAAGTAGCCCGTTGTGGCCACACAGAGGACCGTACCCACGAAGAAAATTTTGTGGCGGGTGCACATGTACGGCCCGGCGACAAAAAAGATGAAGTTAGCGATCGATTGTGTCATTTTGAGGGCAGCAAATGCCGGCTCTTTGTTGCTGGAGAAGAGGTAGCCGATCAGACCTTTGTGGGGCGGTGTGTTTTCGTGTGCGTGATTGTGTGTCTGTGATGTCTGTGTGATGGTGAAATGACAAATCAAACGGATAGGATTTCAAACAACTTCCCACATGACAGGGTGATGCCATTTTACACATATTACCAGACATCAATCAGTCAATTAAATTTAAAAAATGGCTAATATTATAAATACACCTAAATGCAATTAATAAAACAAGAAACCATTTAAAAGCCAATAAACAAACCAATAAACAAACCAACACATTCAAACACACACAAATAGTGTTACAAATACATAAATTTATCATCTTCACTAAACTTATTATCATTATTATGATTATCATCATCATCATCATCATCATCATAATTATTGTTATTATTATTATTATTATTATTATTATTATTATTATTAACGGCAACTAACTGATATCCTGGGTCATAATGGTTCCATCGCCAATTCCCCAGAAGATGACCAGGATGAAGAAGACAGGTAGATTGGAAGGGCTTGGGTCCCAGAACAACAGGGTAAACAAAACAGAACCGTGACAGACGAATGCTAACAATTGGAAAAATAATAATAATAATAATTTTTGATAAGTTTCAAAATACAATAAGGTTCAATTTATGTGACCTATATATAAACTACTCAGATAACACTGATAAATTAATATAAACACGTACACACACGTACACACACACGCGCGCGCACACACACACGCACACACACACACACAGACATACAGATATACATAACCAATCATGTACTTTGAAAAAAACTTTGAAAGGACAAAGTTTAACATCTAGATTTGCATGATGGTGATGAAAAAAGCTTATAAGAATTGTAACAAATAAACTAAGATAAACAAACAGGCACCGAAGCACAACACAGTGATTTGTGTGTATATATTTGTAAATATGTATTTGGGTTTAGACTATCATAAATACAATTATTTATAAATTATTTACAAAACCGCAGTGATTTTTATAAATAATTGTACATATGTATTTATATATGTATGTATGTACACATATCTAGATAACGCATAGAATAATATGAGGTGTAAAAAGATACATGCTTGACTACTTAATGACATGGACCAGTTTTTGACATGGACTTTATATTAAACTAAATAATGGAATAATAAGTATATAATAATAATAATACTATTATTATTATAACACACACACACACACACAAACACACACACATATACACAAACTGAAATAGAAAATTTAATATAAACTAAAAAGAAAATATAAAATATAAATAATATAAAATAATAATAATATTAAAGATAAATAAAATATATCAGTAATAAATTAATTTTAAAATTGTTACGATTTATAAATCGATGAAGGCAAGGCAAGATAAAAACCATTTTGATCAATACGGAGCCTCAAGTCATTCCTACACACAGACACAACCACACACGCAGACACAAACAAACACACACCTGCATACACAGACACACCTATATACCCGTATAATACATACCTACCTACATTAAACTCAGCTATTTTGAGTTGCACGGTGGCCAAGCCCACAAGAATTAATCTTATTTTTATATCAGAATCATTCATGCTATTTTGTTTAGTTTGATAGAATAAAAGTGGTTTGATTTGATTCAAACACATGAAAATACAAAGACACACATATATACATACACACATCCATACCTACATATCTACAAACATACACACCTACGGATCTATACACAACACACATACCTACTCATACATACCAACAAGTACACTCATAACTACATTCATACTTAAATAAACACATACTTTCATACATAAACATCAAAATTTACACTTAATTACACTCATTGGTATGTAAATATGTGAGATTTAGTTTGGTATTAATGTGTTGAATTGTTGATTGACTAATAACTAAACTAAGTTTAAATAACAATAACAACAACAACAAAGATAATAATAATACTAATGATAATAATAATAACAAAAAATACATAAACAATACCCAAATGTATACATTATATATACAAAGTAATACAAACACATACAAACCTGAATGAACATGTGTAAACACAACACAAAATCAGTATAAAAATATACAAACTACCTTGATAAAAACAGCTAAAAACTAAATTGAATGAATGCAGACAAACATGACTATACAAATTTATATATGTAAACATTAGTATAAGCATACATACAGTACAACATACAAACAATACAACATACACATGTAATACAACATACAAACATACTTACATAAAATTCAACATCAACGACAACATCAATAATAACAACATCAACAATAGCAGCAACAACAACAACTATGACAACATAAACAACAATAACAATAACAACAACAACAACTATGACAATATTGACTTTAACAACATCACTAACATTAATGAAATATCAGCAACTACGGGAAAAACATTAATTAGAACAACAAAAATGACAAAAAAATACGACGACGATGACGAANATGTCACCAAGATTGTTTACATATCGACTGTTTTCACCATGGCTACCCAATCGATCTTACAATAA